TAAAGCATTATATTAATTAGTAATATTTCATGTTGAATACATTATGGATATTTCATATATTATATGAGGTATTTCTTTATCCATGAATCTATTTGTAAAGAGTTATAAGAGACTTATGTAGATAAAGTCTTTAAAACATAATGTCCTTGTAAAAAAATTATAAAGGTTGTAATTATGATATTCTTACACATCGAAGCCTTGTTCTTAAATATGTTCATGATCATTGTATTGTTAAGAATAAGAATATTGACAATGTTCAAATACTAGTACATGCTAAGTCTCTTTACTTTAGAAGTAAGCAACTAATCTCATAAGTTGAGGTATGTGAGATACTTGAGGATAATATGTAGGTGCTTATTAAGGAACAAGTTCACTAAACATGACTTGTTGTGAAAGTTTTATTTGATATTTCACTTAAGTGTCTATAGAAATAGTCTCACGTGTCAATAGTGTAAGTAATTCTTAAACTTATAATACCATGTCATCTTGTGTGTGAATTGCTATACTTTGATTTCATCCCTGTGGATTTAAATATGACCAGATGTCTAAATAAACTGCTTTTAGGTATGACATGAAGCATGTGAAGATGAATGAGTAGCCCCGAGAAGATTTATCACCCCAAGTGATTTGAAATGGACAAATCTCAATTGCTCCTAACTTATATTGATAAAGTCCTTGGCAGAGGTGATCTTAATAGGTCAATATGAAGCTTTATGACTAATATGGGATATTACAAGTAAACAAAATGTCATGTTTTATGACATATTCAGGATATTTGATGAAATGATCAAATTACACTAAAATACTGTACACTGAAAAGCTAGTCAAACCATAATGACTTTTTTGATATTTGGGTGGTCATGATGTATTGCTACATGTTGCTTTATGGGTCGCACATAATAAGGTAATAATGTAAAATTAAAATGGGATTTGTACTCAATTATATGGACTTAATTAGATGGTTTAATTGAGTACAAGGGTTAAATTATAGTTAACCAAAAGTTGGCTTAGCAATTTAACCTAACTATAAATACTTAAATGTGGATGTTGCACCATATGAGAAGAACTAGAGATGAGAAACACTTGACAGGAAAACGAAAAAGCTCCTTAAGCTTAAAAAATGTTGTTTTAAGAGAGTTTCAAAAATTATTTTTCTTTGTCATATTCTACCAAAACCGATTCTTTGAAAGGAGAGATTTATGAAATCTTGGCCACTCGTATCACTTCACGGTGTACACATAATCCCTATCTTAAAGAAAGCTTTCATCTATCACTTGTGTAAATCATTATTAGAGGTTAAGCACATAAACAACTTTGGTTTGCGACGACTGAGCTTTGGTGTACAATCAAGAAAAAGGAGTTAAGACTTGTGATTTATTGAAATCACTATTAAATATATGATTTTGATCATTTGCTTGTATATATGAATATTAATATGATCAAATGCCAAAACAAGTGATCTTATAGAAGTTTTGGTTTTTTATGTTTATTTTCACTAGGTTATTCAATTTAAATTATTAATTTTTGAATTGCGTTCTTTTCTCTAAGCATGGTTGAAATCTAGCATTGGTATTACAGCCTCCTTGTATTTGCATTTGATTGGATGATGCTTTAATTGTTGCCAATATGAAAAAATCGATTTTGCCCCAAAACCTTAATTCAAGTTGACATGTATGCTTTAATTGTCAAAATTGTTTTGATTAATTTTAGCATTTAGTTCCAGCAAGTTAATCATGGTTTGAAAATTGATTTAAGTATTTAGATACTGATTTGAATCAAAAGTTGACTTTTGATGTTTTCATTATTATCATCCTCACAACTGCACATATTCAATAATTAAACCTCTTAATTATCATAAATTAACTATGAGACAAAGCATGGGACATAAATAATTAAATGAAAAGAAGGTAAAAGGTATGTAGGTGGTGAAACAACTGTTTCTCTGGATCTTTATATTTCATTTTGGTAATCAAATCAAAGTAGAGAAGAGAGAAATGATGGGAGATCATGTACACAATTATGCTTTAACATGGACTTGTACAAAATCAATAGTAAAAAGGACAAAAAAGAGAAAATGGTGATGAGAAAGCTGAAAAAGGAGGACAGTTGGCAACTAAATCAGTCCAAACGTCTCTATAACGATTGACTTTTCCCAACCTATTTCGAATCCCCAGAGCTACCTTAAACTCGCAATTTCCCGGTTGCCCTGTTTTTCTTATACTAAACAGCTTGGTACAACTTCTACTATGTAGTTGCATTGAATCAGAAACTAAGTATTTTTTGTGAAAAAGAAAGGATATTAAATATAAATTTATTTCTTAAAATAGACCAACTCTAAAGCTGCCGTTAACTGCATCCTAAATTATCATTAAATATTTATTAGCTCTGAAGATAACTAAAGCTCTACTTTGAAAAAAGGCTTCATTAGCTTAATGGATAATTCCCTCTATTTTTTAATTTGATTTTAATGAAATTAAAAAAATTGATTTAACATTTTTTATATTAATAATTTATTTTAAAATTATATATATTCACTTAATATTAAAAAAATGGAATATCAATTTTTTTTGACAATCAAAGAGAAATAAATAAAATGGGACAAAAAAAATAATAAGTTATTAAATTGCATTTGGAATGTCATAATTACTATATTGAAACGTGATACGTGAGAAGACGACCTATGAATTGCAAAATGGATGGGAGGAAAAAAAAATTGATGTATCAAGTTATAAACATTCAAAACTTATTTGGAATTTCAAAAGCTTGGGGTGAGGGAATAAAAACTCAAATTATATAGTTTATTGGTATATATAATTATATAATTATTGAGATTTATGATATATATATATATATATATATGTGTGTGTGTATACATAAGTGATGGCTTTGCTTAATTTATTTTAAGTTCTCATGTTAATTTGTCTTATATTTAAAAATGATAATCTCATAAGTTATAAGAGGAATTTATAATCTGGATGAAATAGAAATTCATACCGTCTTTTTATATATATATAAAATATAAAACAATTTTGTCCAATTGATTGTAACTTTTGCTACTTACAGCTAAATTATATTTGGGTTTGAATATAAAAAAGTAATTTAATTTATTTTGAAAAAGTTAAATATAAAGTTAGAATTTGATGGTATCGTATTCCAGCGCATAATGTAGTAACACATGGGAATCTTGTACAATGAAAGAATGGTACAAATTTTAGACTTTGTGCATTAAAAAGAATCTTTGACATTCTTCACATAGAATTTATACATTTAAACTTTATGACATTGACAATTTTAATATTTTGAATGTTTGTGTGAACATCGACAAGCTTAGATTAAATCATTCTTTCTTTTTTTTTTTTTTCTTATGAAGCAATGTGTAACAATAGTAATTACAATAATGATTAAATTTCAATTGATTTATAATTAAACAATTTTTTTAGTTATTAAATAATTAAATTTTCACTTTTCAATGTAAATAATTCTTAGTTATTGTATAAATAGTATTAACGATTGCACATAGTAGTATCAAACAATAATTAAAATTCAAATTAAAAAATAAGCACAATTAGTAATGAGATAAAGTCTAATCTTGTTTCTAAACTACTAATTTAAATATTTTTATTATAAATATTAATAAAATTTATCTAAATTGAAAATAAAGAATGTTAATTACATTGAATTACATTATAAATGTTTTTCCTAATTCTAATAAATATTGAATAATTTACAAATTAATATTACAAAATATGCATTATTTACAATTCAAACTTTATACTTAATTTTTTTATTTAAATATAATTATTATTAAAAAAGAAATAAAAAAAGAATTCACGTGTCGCACAAAAAATACTAGTTGATTTAAAATGGAAAGATAATTAAAATATAATACTAAGTATAACATAATTTTAGCCTATATCTAATTAATATCATGCCTTTCATCATTCAAAAATTTTATTTATTTTTATATCCAAACACACATTCATTTTCTTAAATAAAAATAAAAAAAGACAATAAATTAAATACAAAATTAAACAGAATCAACGTACAGTGAGGGTGATATTAAACTTGGGTTGGGAAATTGAGTAATAGAGCGTGAGGTTGACGCTCCAGAGAGAGGCGAGTAGGGGGATCTCATGATGACAAACATTAAAAGGATTTTGTTTCTCCTGAGGGTGGATGATGATCAATGTGCATCATCATAAAAAGGAAAAAATAAAAAAAAGAAAAAGGAGAAAAAAGATGCTTTTATTATCAAATTTTCTCTCTCTCCACGCAAAGTCAACGCCCTTCTCTCGCCCACTACTTTTTGTTTAACTTTTTGTCATTTAGTGCAGTGCTGCTAAGCAATCTTTCTTTCCTCTCCGCGTGTTTGCTCTTTCACTGCTTCACCCCTCGGCCTCTCTCTCTCCTCGGCTTCTTATTCTATGTGCTCATTCTCATTTACTTCTCTCGAGAACCCCAGTCCCCCTCAATCTCATCATCGTCGATCCCTATCCGACTATAATCAAGTCCTTCGTATGGTGGTTGTGATGGGCTCTCCAAGGACATAAGAATACACCATTGCTTTTTCTTTGCAATAACTACGGTGGGTTCATCTGTTTCGCCACTAGAATGCAGGACTATTATCAAATGGGAGTTGAATTACAATATAAATTAAATAATTTATTAGGCATGACACGCTAGGTGCTCATTATTAGGTTTTGGTACACTAATTATTAATGTTATTGAATGCAAAGTACTAAAAATTTAAAGGCAATTCATTGCATTCAACGTTAATTAGCAATGGGCAAGATTTAATGCACTTAATTAGGATCAATTTCGAGGCACGATTTTATTAAAAATCCTAATTATGAACTTAAATGAATTTTGACTGGAACACGTGTCTCAATGCTATAAGTGGAGTTCATGATGGAGCGAAATGGAGGTGACATGATACATAATTGCTAGCAGAATCTAAAAAGAATTGATAAAAAGGCCAAAAGCAACCTGGGAACAGGGGGGTGCGCAGGATAAGAGTCAGCAATCCATGGACTCTGCCCCCTCTATAAAACAGAGTCACCCATTTTCACCATTTTCTGAAGGTCAGCGTCACTCATTCCCATAAACACCCCTCCTTCAAAAATCATAAAATATAAAGAAATAAACCCACTTCTGTTTTCTTCACTTGCTTCCGTCTCTGATCTCTCCCTGAAGTCCTCAAACTGAATACCGCATTTACTCTCTGTTTTTTTTTTCTCTCTGAAAAAAAGGATAATTAGAAGTAGAGTAGCAATTAAGAATGAGGGACTGCCCTCTGGTTATCGCCCAACGTGGTGTCTGTCTAATCAACTCTGATAATCAGGTATCCCCTTTACTTTTTTTTTTTTGGTTTTCTGTTTTTTTTTAGGTTCGGGTTGTTTTTTTTTTTTTTTCATCTGAGGTTCTGAAAGCAGAGGGGATTGAGCTGGCTAGTGGCCTGAAAAGAACACACAGTCAGAAAAATTAAAATAATAATAAAAAGAGGAGTTGAAATCAAGTTATCAGATTAACGTAAGTCAAATTTGGATGTCTGTGTGTGGATTTTCTGGATGTTTTTCTTTTTTGAGATAAATTATTTGGAGAGAATTGATAGAGATGTACTGTTTGTTTATCGAAATTTGTAGAAGATGAAAAAAAATGCATCTGGGCCTTGGACATGGGAGCCTGAGCTTAAATTAATTCAAGTTAAATTTACATTTTTTTTATGGAAATTTGTGTTTTTTAATGGTTGTTTGAGGTTTGTTCCTGCAGAATATATGGGTAGAGAAAGCTGAAAATTCTTCATTTTGCTGCTTGCAGGTTTTTGTAGCTTCCAGATTGAATGTTCCAGGAGCGTGGCAGATGCCTCAGGTACTGCCCTGGTAGATGTTCTATTTTTTGTTGGCCTCATTGCTTGCTGAAAACTTCAATTGTTAGTTAAAACTAGAGCACTTTTCTTTTTCCTTTTGTTTTTCTTGCTGGCTGTTCTGAGTAATTACACAATTTATTTCCATAATCTTACTCTTCCTAGACCCTAATGGGTGAACACTACTGCTGTATGGCTCACTTCAACTTTGTTGCCTTCCAAGTGGAGCCCTTTTTTTCATCATTCTCTGTTTCATAACTGTATGCTTCTATGTGTTTTACCAAAGTGTATGTACAGTTCTTTGTGAGTGTGCATATGACTCTTCAAAGGAAATGCTTTGCCAGTCAGTTGTGTTTATTTTCTTCCAAGTTGAATGTCTTTCAAGATCTTTCATAGTAACAGAATAAACGACTCCTTCCTTATCTTACTGCAGATTTTTTTCTTTTTCTTCTTTGTGACATTCAAAAACTTGATTTTGGTTTAACCTATGATGACCTTATTTCTAAAAAGTGCACATATATTTTGGCTAGCTTAATTGTTTATAAAGTTTGGAATTTTACAAACTCAGGGGGGTATTGAAGATGGTGAGGAGCCAAAATCTGCAGCTATTAGGGAATTGCGAGAAGAAACTGGAGTAGTGTCTGCTGAATTTGTTGCTGAGGTTTGTTAAAAAGATGGTGTTGTTATGCTACAGTTTTTTATGCAGGACTTTTTATACACTGTTATTGGCTGAAGCACATCATGTGTGACATTCTATTCTTTGTTAATTTGTCATTTTAAACTTCAAAGATTTGACCATTGAGTTGAATTATTATTACCAAAGTCACTGCTTATTCATCCATAGATTTGGATGGTATATTTAAAGTCTTGGTCATGTTTCAAAAATCAAAGAAGTTTGGATCAAGCTAAAGAAAAGGAGAATAGATCAACATTTTCTCTCTTCATGTATGGTCAACAGAAATAAGAGAACCTGACACATGGTTACTTCAAATTGTACAATCACTGCAATAAAGGTACTAGATATAAAATTTCCTACTAAAAATTCAAAGCATTCAAGCTGTATTTGTAATATTCCAAGCAAGACTTTAGTTTGTACTGTATCCTCCATTCTCTGCGACTTCCTTCTGTCCTTTCCCAATTGCTGCTGTACATAATATCAACACTCCTGGTTTGGCAGGTTCCTAATTGGTTAACATATGATTTTCCTCCTGCTGTAAAGGCCAAAGTGAATCGACTCTGGGGAGGTGAATGGCATGGGCAAGCACAGAAGTGGTTTGTTCCTCCTTTCTTCCTTTTCCTCTCTTCCTTTGTCCAACCACCCACATCCAATGTAGTTTTATAGTGTAGGCTATTGGCCACAAAATTCACAGTGCATTCAGTGCATTTAGGGCATGCCTACAGTGGCATACAACTGAAAAGCAGAAACTATATGATGAATTATGTGGATACTTGCACGGGTTATCTAGTGATGGTTGACTGTTTCTTGAAATAGATTGCATGCTTTCTTTAGCACCTTAGAGAAATAATGTTGTTTTGATGAGTACTCTCATGTCTCAATATCCTATTTGAACCAGCGTTCTATTCAATTTTATCTGATGGGAATTATATCATATGTGTAGGATATGGGTACATATAAAATATATTGAAGTAAAATGATTTGAATTTCATTCCTGCTAGAGCTGCTAATATAAGAAATGCTTATGGATTCTTTTGTGTGTTCGCGTGTGTGCTAATGGAATGAGTGTGAGATATGATATAGCTTTTGTTCTTTTTGTTTCTAGTAAATTTGGTAACTCTGAAAGAGAGCGAGTGAGCTAAGAGTCAAAACACTAATTATTTTCTGTTAGGGATGAGTGGCTTCAATTAATATTTAAGAGTTGGAAGAACCTCTATAATTGAACTAAAGACTAGTTCATGATTAAATTCTGTTTTATTGGATTTGTTTTGGGAATTGCAAGGAGAAGTTAATCATTATCAGCTAAGAAAAGCAGCTTTAGTTATGCTTTTTGTTCTCATATGGAGTTAGTGGCTAGCATATGCATACACCCTCTAAATTTGGAAACATTTTGGTTAATGTTTTTGAAGTATGTTTCATTACTTTGTCGGATAGTTTTGATGCTTGTGTGTGTGCTATGCTTGCACCTTTCTCCTGAATGGAAGAGAGACCGATTGCATGAGTTATCAAAGCAGTTGAGAGGCCTGAAATGCTCGTTTGTGAATAATGTGGTATTTAAACTATGATCAGTACAATCTGCAAGTCTCTGGCCTTTTTCTTTCTCCCTCTCCCTATGAAAACGTGTGCATGAAGCCTGAGCTTTAAAATTAGAAACAGCTGTTTGCTTCTTTAATTTAATTATCTAATTTCATTATTGCGCTGTGCCCAATCTGATCGCTGTTGTCATTTTTACCTAAGGCCATGAAATGCATAGGAAGAAATTATTAGAGTTTGTGATGTTGTCATATGACTTATGGGCTCACAATAGATAGGGACAATTGACAGGTTTCTTATGAGATTAACAAAAGATGAGAGCGAGATCAACTTAGCAAATGGAGAGGCAGACCCAGAATTTGCTGAGTGGAAATGGGCAACCCCTGAAGAAGTTGTGGAGCAGGTATTGTGCAGTAGCAGCATCATGAATTACTATCATATAAGTTTTACTAGTGAGTATAACGCTTACTAAGATGTGAAAACAAAATGGGTTGCAGGCAGTGGACTATAAAAGGCCGACCTATGAAGAAGTTATGAAGACCTTCAGGCCTTACTTTAGTGACAATAGCAAAGCCGCTAAATGTAAATCGACAAAATGGTGAAATGCTATGGTGTGTTTTTGTAGGTTTCTCTCTATGGGGTTTTTTCCCTTTTTGTTGCTAGTGATTATATTTGGACTCTCTTCATCCATCTTTGCTCTCTGTAAATGGATATGGCGGTTAGAACTTCAAATTTAGATGGTTGTTTCTTTGTAATAAAAGTAAAAAAGAAAGAGTCATGCTCTTGGTTTTTGATTGGAGTTTTGCAAGTTGAGCCATCTCATGCTTCATCTCTTTCGTTTCTTCTCGTGTAGCATAGCGTGGTTTCATTACTGAATTTCCTTCAGGGGCTTTTTAACATGTTAATTACAACAGATATTTTAGAAAATACTCATGCATAATGCATTTCTCCAAAAGTGAAACAAAAATATTTATTTTATTTTATTTTTTATCTTAAATAAAATAATAAATTTGCACCTTATCTCTTTTTAAAATCAAAACCAATTGAGACAATTGGAGGAAAAAACCGGAAGAAAAAGGAAAATTAGTTTGATTTAAAAATGAATGTTCGTTATATCAAAGTTTTTATTTTAACCTTACCCAATTTGTTGGTTTTTTAAGGCATATACATATAAAATAAAAAGAGGAAAATAGAGAAAAAGGAAGAGAGATTATAAGCATTCAATTCTTCAAACAATTTAATTAAGGACCTTAATAGAGAGATGTTTGTTGAATTAATTCAAGTTTAATGACGTAATAATTCTAAACAGGGTTGGTTTCTTATGACACACGTGCAGTTGTTGAGTCTCACACTGAGGGCAGAAAGTTGACGGCGCGCCTATCCTTTGTCTCTCGGCTAAGAGTGTAGTCTTTGGGAAAGCAAAAACCGCTGGAAATGGTGGAATCAGAGGCTGTTGTTGATAATCCCATAAGCCCAGCAGCTGAGGGAATGCTTAGTAATAGAAATAAAGCGGAAATAAGCAGCAAGCTTAAAGACGCAATTCTCGCACAACTTGCTGCTTCAAACCCCTCGAAGCCCATTAGCCCCGACCTCATCCAACTCCGCTTGCAGCAATTCTTTCCAACTTTCCACACTCCCATTCACCCTCCTTACTCTTCGGTAATTAACTATCAATTTCACCTCTTTTATTTCTTTTTTTTTTATTTAGTTTCATTTTTGCGATTTATTCTTTTCTTCTTCAATAGTTGTTATTTACTCATAAAACAAAATTAAATTGATTAAAATGGATATAGCTGCTATGTACAAAGGGAAAATCACGTTTTTCGTTCGATTGCATCTTTCATTTTTATTGGTTTGTTTGTATTGAAATGTATTTTTGCCTGCGGAAATAAAAAGTAAGTAGGAAAATTAACAACAAAACGTTACGTTTTGGAAGTGACAACAGAAGCAAGACAACGAGTTCCGAAATGCTTGTTTTGGAGCTGTTTTCTGCTGCAAATGGGTGGATATGAATATGGCATGATTAATTACTCAGTATTAAAGGCCTTTAAGCTAATACAACATATTGCATGATATGATACGGTTAACATGTTTAGATACTATTACTCTACTCAGACACAATAAAGTTAGCTGATTCAGACATGACCAATCTATTTAAACATGAATAATAAAGTATTTTATGTTTTTTTTTATAAATATTTATAATTCAATAAGAAAGTATATATAAGTTAGATATGTTGAGTAATGAGAGTTAATGTCTAAATATGATTAATTAAACATGTATGAATGTGTCATATATGGATAAGATGGGTCAATCTGCATAAGACATGAATACTTTTGTATTGTAAACAAGGTACACAATTATGATACGAATGTAATTATACGTAACTCATATCCGCTTAAATTCCTGTTCCTGTTGTGTTAGTAGATCATATCTAAAATTGTCAGGTCTAGCCAGTAGCCAAAAAATGCTAACAAAGCAATGGAATTTGGCAAGAAATGTATGGAAATGCTGCCATTTCTTTCTAAAGTAAAATGAAAATCTTGATTGCAGCTTAGTAATGGGAGAAACTGAACATTGTCATTTTTAGATTCTTATTGCTTATTTATCTTCTTGCTTTTGCCTTTTTTTGTGTTGGTTGGTTTAGATGATACAACGAGCAATTTTGAAATTAAATAATGAAGGTGGGTCAAGTGAGGAGGCAATATTGAGATTTATAGAGGAGGAGTATGAGGGTTTGCCATGGGGGCATGCTAGTTTTTTGAGTCATCATTTGGAGAAGCTTTGTAGGAATGGAGATATTTTATGTGTTAATGA